CCCGAATTTCTAAAATTCCGAGTTTTTCAGTTATTTGCAGATTTCTGAAAGAAACCCAAAAAGCAGGTGTCCTTCACAAATCGGCAAGTAGCTGAAAAACTAGAAATTTTCAAAAAATTCTGTAAATGCAAAGTTTTGGATCAAGATCAGTTTTAAATATAACCTCCAAAGTCTGGCTTCGGATATCCTTGGATGTTGGTTTGTACAGTTTTTCGCGATTTTACATTGTGCTGGTGCGAAAAACGGTGCTGTGGAAGAGAAAAGCCGGTGGGTCTTTTCCGAAAATCCCACAACAACTGCCATAACCTGAAAATATTTGTATTTTCTCGATTCATTATCCCGATTTTCGTGCGTTTTCAGTTTCCGCATTTGTTGGAGAAAAATAGTAGAAAAATCTGAGAATGAATCCGGAAAATAAAACTATTTTTAGGTTACGGTAGTTGTTGTGGGACCTTGGTCACCGGTGTTTCTTTTCCACAGCTCCGATTTTTCGTACCCGAATATTTCAAAAAAGTATATTTCTGTGACTAATCTCCAAATCTTTTTTTTATGCATAAAAATTCAGACTGATCTCTGCAATGGCCTTTTCTCTGGTGACTTTTCCAAAAGCAGTTCTTTTTTCAAAATTGCTCATAATTATTCGTCTCTAGTTTAAGAAAATTCGTCACAAATTGAATTCAGTAGTAGTTGTCTCGATCCAAAATAATTCAAACAAACACAATAAGAATGCGTCATCAAGAACAATTTGGAGATTTCCAGAGGAGAAAAAAAAACGATTGTGTCACTAAAATTCAGCAAATTCATGTGAGAAGAAGCGCACACGAAAATTTGCAAAATTACAGAAAAAAAACAACATGTTTTGATCTTCTCCAGAATTGAAATAAGGAAGTGCGGGCAGGATTATTTTTGAAAAAAAAATCTGAGAAAAACATAATTGTCTTGGAAACGGATTAATATATCTACGGGGAAGGGGGACCTAGAATGTCTATGATTTAGGTGGCATGATATGGCAATTGGATATCGGGACGATGGGATTCATAAAACACTGGAAATGTTTCAAAA